AAAAAAAAAACAGAACTATTCAGCTGTTCCATTGGAGTGCAAAAGTAGGCATAGACAATATGTGGCTATGTTCCAATAAAACTTTATTTACAGGAAACAAGTGGCAAGTTGGACTTGGTTTGCAGGCTGTAGTTTGCTGGTCTCTAATGTAGAACTAGGTATAATTTAAATAAACTGCATTCAGTAAGTACAGTGGAGGAGTCATTGCAGTATTTTAAGGAGAGAAGTGACATTGTCTAATTTATATTTGGTTGATTTTTAAAAATTACTCTGATTGTTTTGATCCTGTTGGTAAAGAGATGAATAGGAGCTGAGAAACCGGTTTGGAAGGTAGAGCGGTTGTTCAGGCAAGCAACAATACGATGGTGGCTTCTATTAAGACGGTAATGATGGGGACAAAAAGTGATTGGAATCAGGATATGTTTTGCAAGTACACGGCAGAACTTGCCAATGGATTGAATTGGCAGTATTGTGTTCTAACATTTGTTTGATAAATGTTTACTGAGTAACTAAGGTAGACTGCATTTTGCGAAGCACGTAAGGAATTCAAAGATGAAGATGCTATTTATTAGTTGAAGGAGGTTAGAAAATAATTGGAAGACTGGGTGCGGTGGCTCACACCTGTAATCCCAGCACTTTGGGAAGCCAAGGCAGGCGGATCACGAGATCAGGAGTTCGAGACCAGCCTGACTAACATGGTGAAACCCGATCTCTACTAAAAATACAAAAATTAGCCAGGCGTGGTAGCACATGCCTGTAATCCCAGCTCCTTGGGAGGCTGGGGCAGGAGATCGCTTGAACCCAGGAGGCAGAGGTTGCACCACTACACTCCAGCCTGGGCGACAGTGAGACTCCATCTCAAAAAAAAAAGGAATTAAGTGGAAACATAACAAAACTGCTTATTTTCTTAGAAGACCCCTCCAAAATGACCTAGGAGTACCTAGGCGACCTACCACTAACCACAACCTAATTCCGCCTGGGGTAGGACGAGAATAGTGTGCATGATCTTTAGAAAGTGTTTCCATATACAGTGTCTTACTTCGACTCATAATTGTGTGAAGAAAGCAAGCCAAATGCCAGAAGTTAAAGATGAGAAATTGAGACCTAGTACGGTGTTTCAGCTATACCACAGGGCTTCTGATAATGAATAAAACTAACTGATTTCTGCCATAATTGGAAGATTCTGTTCCATGACCATTGGCCGAACACCTACTGTGTGCTAGGCTATATCTGAGGTGCTGAGAATATCAAGGTAAGACAGTCAACTGCCCATTGAGAGTTAACCTATTTGCTATTCTTTTCAAGTACCTACTGTATTGCTAGGTACTTTGCTTTTGATATGGTGTAAATCAGAGGTGTCCAATCTTTTTGGCTTCCCGAGGCCACACTGGAAGAATTATTCAGCACATAAAATACACTAACAATAGCTAATGAGAAGAAAAAAAAACAATATTTTAAGGAAGTTTATGATTGTATGAGGCTGAATTCAAAGCCATCCTGGGCCACATGCAGCCCGTGACCTGTGAGTTGGACAAGCTTGCTATAAATAGAAGCTAGACAATATTAATTAAAGAAGTAAGCCAGTGCAACAGTGGCACCTTCTATGTCACTTTACATTTTCCTGGACTCTTAAGTCATCAGCTACCTCATTTACATGTAACAATGTGTAAGGTAGGTATAAGTTCAGAAGATACAACTCACCCAAGATTTCTCTAAGTGGCAGACCCAAACCAACAGTTTTGGAAATTTTGCAGTTAACCCAGAAAACAAATAGAAACAGCTAGAGATACTGTGACACTATGACCAGAAACCACTTACCTAACTGAAAAAGTATATGATACCCTTTACTATCTTAAAAACAGCAGTCTGGCCCTTTTGCCCCCCAGGCATCAGTTTGACAGTGTAGGGTTCTCTGTTTAGCAGAGGTTACCCTGAAGAAAAAAAAAAAAAATGCAGTTGTCCAAATGAAGCAGGCCCTTTGCTTTTAAACTGCACTGATGACAACCTCCATATTCTGCTGTGAATCTCAGAGAGAGAAAGGAGTTTACTGAGGGTTCGTTCTTTTTTTCTTTTAAGAGACAGGGTCTCACTCTGTCACCCAGGCCGGAACGCAGTGGCATAATCATAGCTCAGTGCAACCTTAACCCTCCTGGGCTCAAGCAATTTTCCTGCACCACCACGCCCAGCTAATTATTTTTTTGTAAAGACAGGCTCTTGCCATATTGCCCAGGCTGGTCTCAACCTCCTGGGCTCAATGATCCTCCTGCCTCAGCCTCCTGAAGTGCTGGGATTACAGACATCAGCCGCCACACCCGGCCTGCCTAGGGTTCTTAAAATGGTCAGGTCTAAAGATAAATGATGGAAACAGTTTGGAGAAAAGCATACTCATTGAAGGAGATGGTGCTCTTGTAACTTTTACCTGCTCCTGCATTAAAAAATTCACTGGCAGGTATTCTGAAATTACAGTTTTTACTATTTCTGAAATTACCCATTAAAGCACCACAAAGCAGTCATGATAGGAAACCTGGAAACCTTGGACAACTTGACAGCAAAACTAGGTATCCCCAGAAACCCCCAAACAAAAAACAGGTAGAGAGAAACCACTAATAGCCACAAGATCGGCATGGTATCACTATCTGTTCTAGTGGAAGCAATGGCACTTCTGATGAATCTCAGAACTTCAAAATAACAAGTACTCACTTGACGCCGGGAGCGGTGACTCACGCCTGTAATCCCAGCGCTTTGGGAGGCCGAGGCAGGCAGATCACAAGGTCAGGAGATTGAGACCATCCTGGCTAACATGGTGAAACCCCATCTCTACTAAAAATACAAAAAATTAGCCGGGCGTGGTGGCGGGTGCCTGTAGTCCCAGCTACTCAGGAGGCTAAGGCAGGAGAATGGCGTGAACTCAGGAGGTGGAGCTTACACTGAGCTGAGATCGAGCCACCGCACTCCAGCCTGGGTGACAGCGAGACTCCATCTAAAAAAAAAGTACTCACTTGAAAGCTCACCAAGCCAATTTGAGAACAGCAGCTGAAACTAGGTGGCATTTCCAGTGAGTACAAAGGATGCTTGATTAGGCCTGAAAGGACTGGAACGGTCTGGACCTAAGAAACTTAATTCAAAGCCCTTACAGGACAATGCCCCACACCAAAATTCCTTGTTAGAATCCAAACTGAACAGGACATGCAAAACGATGGGAGGGGGTGTAGAGCGATTAAATTCATTAGATTAAATGAAGTATTTTGAAAAATAAAATTATGATTATCCCATAAAATTCAGAATGTACTATCCTTACAGAAATGATACAAGGATATTAAATAACTTGTTCTTTTAACTCCTA